AAATAAAAAGAAGTACTTCTTCACAGAGTGTTAATTCATTCAATACTTTATTAACCTTCTAATTAAAATTCCAGGCACTGTGATAACTGCTAGGCATACAAAAGGATGAAAAGGACAAGGTAATGAAACTTATAAACACATGCCCCAAGAGGTAATAAAAACTAAAAATATGATTAAACAGGAAAGTTATAATGTGCCATGAAAGGAATATGGAAGTGCCATAGATTTTTCATGCTCTATCTGCCCAATACAAAGTTGTGTGTGAGACACATGTCTGACTCAGGATAGCATTCTGTAGGCCCAAGGATTCCAAATGGCATTGTCAATTAACTTGGAGGAGCTCTCACTCCTTTCCCTTGCAATATATGGGTGACACTCATATGCAGAATGTATTTCTACAAGTATACCCAAATTATGGGTTGCAACATAGAAGAAAGTCTGCATGCTATTTCTAATTCCCAATTAACCAGTTGTAACTCCACTCATATGTCCTCCACTCCCCAAAATCCCCTGCAAAAAAAAGTTTAACATGACATTGTGTTGTAATAATGTGCTTCAGAGCTGATATTTTAAGCAATGTCTGTATCTTTAGAAGTAATTCCATATGAAAGTGTTCTTAACTTGATTTCCCAATATTAAAAGCAAAATTTGTGAAATTAAAAAATATTTAAAAAACGCAAGTATTTTGAATTCGCTAATGTTGCCAAATAGTACATAATAATATCTTACATATTCTATTAAATAAATGTGATTATTCAATAAATTCATAAAGGAATACTTAATTTATTAGACAACTGATCTTTGTTTTAGATATTAACCATTGCCCTTTAGTTCTCACATACATCTGAGCCCTTTTCTGAACCTGACTGCATGCAGACAGCCTCTAAATTTTGTATATTCTAATTATGGAAGTGAATGGTGAACAAAGCTATGCTTTGGTATTTTTATTTATAAGGGTAAAAATCCCACCAAACCCTCCTGAGTTCCTAACCCTTGTCTGATAACAAGTCTCCAAAAACTGTTCTTTCACTATTTGTGTGTCCTTAGTTTTCAGAAAGGTGTTAAGGACATTGTCAGAAAGCGGGATCTTCTCTCTCCCTCTCAGAATCCTGAATCACTGTCCCGGGGAACTGAGCACTTAGGCTTCTAGTTCTAGCTCCTGACAGATAGTGTCCACCCAGGAAATCTGACTAACTATATGTTTTGGAAAAGGTTTTCCTTCTTCCTATTTTTGCTTTTTGTTTATTATGTTCTCTCAAAAGTACTATTAGAAAATGAAAAATCTTAGCTAAGAGAGGATATACTTTAAGTAGCTTATTTTTATTTTCTTTTCTAAAACTACAAAAGAATTTATGAACAGTTGAAATAGTCTTGTTTGAAATTATTAATACATTTCAGAAATGTTCTTATATGTGCCATTCCATGAATTAACATAGTTGACATAACAGGGTGAGTGAGGAGGTAAAGGTTGACACAATTAAATTCTTTTTTTACATAGTTACATTTGCAAAACAAACCAATTTTAGTACTTGCATAAAGTTCTAAGATCCATGCCAACAGCTATTGTCATTTATAATAACGAACAGGACTCAAATTATCTTCAAAGATATTTTTATTCAAAAACTATTTGGCATAGTTCTTGTAATATGGTTCAGAAAATAGACAGATGGTGATAAACACTTCTACAGAGTATGTTTGGCAATTCAATACACAGAATAAAAAACCAGTTGGTTGAATCCTGAGTATTTTAGTATTCAAACTTAATAAATTTACTTAACTATGGGCTTAAAATAAATATTTGCTTGAGCACAATGAAGTTTTATTATCATCATTATAAACAAAAATTCATTAATTATTATATATTCAAGTTTAAAGTTGGAAAACACATATTTTAGCTTATAAATAACTGTAAATTCAGTTATCCTGGATTTTTAATGGATACTTTAGGTACTTTTAAAAATCAAGTTATTAAAGTCTAAAATAAGTCATAGTGCCAAGTTACTTACATTTTCAGTTAAAGGAAGACTATCTATTCTTTTAGTAAGATTCTGAAGTTGAGCATAATACCAGTCTTTTTCCTTTTCTTCTTTGTCAAGATCAGCAAGAAGTAATGATCTGTTTTTTAAAAAAAAGGTAAGTTTACACAATGCTAACCAAGTGCACAACAGCAATTCTTATTAGCTGTTACTGTAAAGTTCTCACTGTAAGCTAAAATATTAATAATGAATAAAAACCA